GGCTACAGTAAACACAGTAATGTAGGTAAGGCACAAGAAGGGGTCAGGAGGACAGGCAGCCATAAAAAGGGTCAAATTCAGGCAAGTTTCACAATTATTAAAAAATTCTAAGTAATGAATAAAAAAGGAATTAAAGGAAAAGTCACTCAGAAATATTAAGGCCAACTCACACCACAGACAAATGATCAACAAACAAGTTGACTGTTGTATTTAGAATGTTGTGATACAATTACAGTTCTGTACACATTGCCGCAGCAAATGCTACACACAATAATTAAATGATCCTACTCAGGAATAAAAAGATATTTAAATTGAAGCCAGTCTGGTCCCTGGTCAGATCCCTCCATCCTTTGTCTGCTTAACCCGGGCTGGGACATGGGGACAGCAGTCCCAGGAGGAAACCCCAGACTTCCCCCTCCCTAGACACTTTCTCCAGCGTTCCGAGGCAAGCCAAGAGACATAAAACCTCCAGTGTGTCTTGGGCTTTCTCTCAGGCCTTCTGCCGGAGGGACAAACCTGGAACACCTTCTTAGGTAGGCGTTCAAGAGGTACATGCAACAGATGCCCGAACCACATGAGCTGAGTTCTCTCGATGTGGAGGAGCAGTGGCTCTACTCTGAGCTTCTCCCGGGTGACGGAGCTCCTCACCCCATCTCTAAAGGTGCACCCAGCTACCCTGTGATATAAATTAATTTCGGCCGCATGTTTCCAAGATCTTGTCCTTTCATAGGTAAGAGTATGAATATAAATGGTCCAGAAAATTGCGAGCTTTGGCTTTTGGCTCAGCTCCTCCTTTACCATAGTGAACAAATACATTGACCGCATTTCTGCTGCTGCTGCATGATCCATCTGTCAATCTTATGCTACTTGAACTCCTCCTCCTGGGGCAAGGACTTTCCTCCAACTTGGAAATTTCAAACCACCTTTTTCTGGTGGAGCACCAAGGCTTCAGACTTGGAGGTGCCGATTCTCATCCCAGACCCTGGTCTGGCAGGAGCACTTTTAGAATATCTTAGCATAGATCATTGAATTAAATTAGACCATTTACATCGTGTACTAATATTTATGAAAGGATGCTATATTATAGATCGATATGACTAAAAAGATGGTAAAACTAAACTGTTAAACATTTAGGAGAGTTGTAAAATTAACCTTTTTAATGGAGTGTTCCTTTTAACAATAAGGACAGCCTAAATATTGGGGTGATTAGTTAACAGCTTTGGCTGCAATGAGTGCTAAGAAGGGAGTTGTGGGAAATATATTTTGAATGCAAGTTAATACTCATGGCAGGGGGTGGCACCATCTAGTGGAAAGATGAAGAGAAACCTCAACCCTGGCTGCCAGTTGAGATAATTTATCAAATTGCCTCCAGTTTTCAGACTAACACTTGTAACAGGAAGGATCTGAAAGTGTTCTTTTGTGAACCATGCTTAAAACTGGCATCAAATCAAAATTTAGTCTCCTTATTTTTATATGTATATTGTAATTTTTTGTTATCAACGATGTTTCTGCAATTCGTATTTTTGTAAAAAATTCATTTACAATTATCATCTTTAATCAAATAACAACATTCCCACCCCTTTCAAAATGATTTTTCTTCACTTCTGGTCACAGAGACTGCCTTTAGGATAAGGCTGTCAGTCTTTTAGGCGGGGTTATTAGTGAGTGTCTCATTTCTGCCCTGCTTTTATGGAAAGCAGTGGTTTGAATTGTTGTAAACTTCTAAGAGCCCACAAAAAACCAGGGAGAATCTTTCGGTTGTCTTCAAAGCAGAATCCTTTTTAATAAGAGGAACTCAGCGTGGCTGTGGCGTCATCGAAAGCAAACTCTCAACTCCACAGCAAAACATAATACATTTTATACATCTTACAGCATGTAGGTGGGGTCAGTCATGGGGGGCAGTAAAACAAAGCATGCAAATGAAGTCTGGGTGCCATGGTTGCAAATGAAGTCTGGGTGCTATGCTGATCTCATCAATAGATAAGTACATCATTACAACAATGTGCAAATGATGTTCTGGAGACAGGGAATACAATAGATACAGCCATGCTGTGAAACCATTAAAGAGCCCATATTATGGGTTTTTGAAAATTCCCCTCCATGTAGTGTGTAACACAGCTCTAAGTGAAGTGAAGTATCCAGCTAAGGCTTAAATCTGTAAGAATACAGTGTTTAAAACTGTTGATTCATCTATAAAAGAGTCGAATCATAGTGCTTCAAACGAGTCGCCTTGATACCGACTCATTAGGTGTTTCGCCATGACGTACGAACGAAACAAAGTTTTTCACGTGCACGCGCAAACCCGGGAGATTTCAAACCTGAGGCCCCGCCCTCTGACGCAGTAACCCAGACACACACACACACACACCCACAAACACACGCACACCCACAAACACACGCACACAAACATGCCGGTCGATTGAAGTCACACTGCAGATGGATATATTGAGTCTCTACCCAAAGATGAAACATCAGCATTATAACCAAGCAGTTGGAAACTTCTGGAAGCTACATGCTACAAAGAATACTTCATCTGAGTTTGTTAAAGGAAGGATCAGTAAAGAGTAACTGATGGACGTCAGGATGGGTTTCTTCCTACATTTCTCAAGTGTAAGTACGTGCGGTTAAAGTTGTTGCCTCGTTTACTCTAGCTTGCAAATGTATTTAGTTGTGATTTGTTACTTGTAACCGCGTGTACTGTATCAGGTTAACTGGATATATTATCTTATCGCGTGCAAAGTCACGTTAAAAACGCGACGCGTGCTGTTTGTTTATGGAGCTCCGTGCTAGAGTTCTGCTCCCGCGATTTATTCGGAAATGTATTCCCGCGCCGCAGAAATCTGGCGCGGGGAGAGAGAGAGAGAGAGAGAGAGCGAGAGAGAGAGCGAACGAACGAACGAGCTTTGTGTACTTTGTGCTGTGTGTGTGTTTTTATACAGACAGCTTGGCTGTCTGGACTGTATACTGGGTGATATTTGGTTGTGTTCTCCGCTCTAGCGGGACCGGGCGCGGCGGGCAGAAAACGGAGCGGATTCTCAGGCTAAAACCTGGCGGGTGCGGGCTGAAGCGGGAGCGTTGTCATCCGGAGGTGTGTGTGTGTTTTTGTGTGTGTGTGGTATGGCGAGTACACGACTGTCTCCTTCGTTCGGTTATCCGTGGCACTATCCACTCGCCATAGTGTGGCAGCTAAAGTCCACGCCTACACTATCGAGCGTGTATGAACTGTGATTACTTTTTAAATTGCTGATTAGCTATTGGCCATTTCCCTCTCTGACTGAAGGCAGTCGACCAATCGCGACAGACTGTCATCGGTCCAATCAGCGCAGATTAGCTCCGCGCTAAGGAGGGGTTTGGGAACAAATGAATCACTGGACGATTCATACAGGAGTCGCTGGGATAATTAGATAAAAATAAATGCAGATTATAAGACCATGAAAGTGTTTTTTGACCTTGCATGCATATTAGACTGTTGTTGGAGACCCTTACAACCAAGATATGACCTTATTTCATGTATAATATGGGCTCTTTAATTACATCACTTTAGCATACAAATGAAGTCTGTAGTCAGCAAGGCAAAGGTTAACTGTCCCTCCTATATGGCATGTTAATGAAATTATATAATTAAAAACCAAAGAATATAACTTTTCAGTTATACGTAGATTATTGTTCATTTGGAATTAGTTGATAGAAATTTATATTTCCACAGAATGAATATGATATTATTCCATTTGTAAAATTAAGCTGCTCGTTCTCATCATCGGGAATAGGGTCTAAAAAAACAATGAAATATAAGGAATATCAGAAAATTATCAGGAAAAGAAATAAAGCTTCTTAGAATTCTCAGGAAAATCTTGAGATCAGGAGCAAAAATTAGATAGCAGAAAGAAAGAGCTGAAACCAGAAGAATAATTAAACCTAATAAAAAAAAGATATTGGTGAAAATATTGCTCTACCTTAGGCAAGGAAACACATTTGAGTGAGGTATGGGGTACGCTTAAAAAAAATTACAGGCATGTATAAAAACAGAAATTTCGGTAATAGTATAGGAAAAATGAAAGCAGAATTATAAAGCATTTCAAAAGAATGTTCAGAATTTCATAATGGCAAAAGAGAAGATAGAAATCAAAATGAGGTATAGTAGGGCTGAACTTAAATCAGTAATTAAAAAGGGAATACACAAAGAGTGGCAAATAAGTTGGGACAATGAACAAAAAGGCAGACATTTATATGCAATACAACCAAAGGTAGGACAGATTTTGAACTCATGGGGGAGCAGGAAGGAGGATTGTATGCTTTCAAGAATAAGGATAGGACATACAGGGCTGAACGCTACATTACACATGATAGGAAAACATCTAAAGGGTTTGTGTGATGGATGTGGAGAGAGAGAGAGACAGTAGAACATGTAATCATTAGTTGCAATAAATACACAGAGGAAAGAAATATGTTAATTAATGACCTACAGATAAAAGATGAACAAATAACACTGAAAGAGTTTTTATATCAGGAAGGAAAGAAATGGTTGATACAATTCTTAAAAAGAACTCAGTTAATACATAGGATATAGAATGTCTAAATATATTTATTTAATTAACTTAATTATTATTTTATTTATAACAATATTAAGCTTTCTCCTCTCTTCTACTATGTTTTTCTATGTCTCTGCTGTGAAGGACCTGAGCTGTAGATGGAGGAGCTGAACACGCAGCAACATCAAAGGCTCTGGTTTTGAAGAGTCAAGAGATAAAAAATTAATAAATAAATAAATAAAAATAAAAGAGTCTCTGATCCATAACCCACAGTAGGTGGCGGTAATGCTCTGTTAAGAATGCGAACCGCCAATAAACACCAAGAAGAAGAAGAACTGCCTGGATCGAGTCACGGACGTGAGTCACAGCAGCGGGTGGGGTTTTCGCGTAGGGGGCGTGGTTTGCGCTGAACTGGTCTGGGAAAAAAAATCACGCCGTTCAATGGGAAAAAGGGCTGTCGCGTCGTCCATATTTTTTACAGTCATTGACTGAAACCCCTGGAAAAAAGTGCCTGCCGTTCAAGTCTGCAGACGCTCATGGTTTTCAGCAGACACTAGAAAGCGACATCTTTGTTTTTGTCTTCCAGACACAAGCTTATTGGAACAATAAACTCCGTTTATTTTATTATTTCAAACATGAAAATGAAGCTTTCCTATTATTTTCACATATCGATTTGGTGTTTCCTCAAGTCGACATTAGGTAAGTTCGGACTGTTGTGATACATTTGATTTTATGCTTGCTGTAATTGCTTCTTCCTCGACAGAAATGCGTTACATTGTCGAAAAATGCACAGATGTTGTTTTTTGCATGTCCATAAGACATTTATTTTTTAGTCTCACTTTTTTATGGACAAGTGGTTGTTTCGGCCAAGATGGCGCTCATCAAAAGCAAATCGATGTGCTCTGTAAGCTCAAACATTGTAATTGGCTAGTAGTGTTATTTGTTGAAAGCTATTTTACTCTGTGCAAAGAGAGAATATAATATAAATACTACAGAATTAGTCCTTGTTTGTAATAAGATGGGTAAATCGGAGAAAAGGAAGAACAAAAATGTGTCTCTGGGGACAGCTAACGCTGCTAATGTTAGCAGTAACGTGAGTGAAACGATGGGAGCCTCATGTAGTTATGAAAAACAAGTACGGAGTGATGGAATCCACACTGAATAATGTAGAGGAAACTTGCGTGGGACACGACCGAAGGCTGTCACAGTTAGAAAGTTACTCGCGGCGGTGGAATCTCAGGATGCACGGCATTCCGTAAAATGAAAGAGAGGATGTTCGTGATAGGGTTATAGATGTTTGTCAGCATCTCTTACCAGAGGACAAGGACAGACTCTCCAGCGCCGTCGACACTGTACACCGGTTAGGTCGCAAGCAAACAAACAAGAACAGAGGAATTATTCTACAATTTGCTTCCTGTTTCTTTTGCGATGCTGTTTGGCGTGCAGCCAAGGACTCTGCCTTTTTGCGCGAAAATAACATTAAAATATAAGAAAACTTATCCCTTGCAGATAAAGAAAGAAGAAACAAACCATGGCCAGCAGTGGAGAAAGCAAGAAAAGATAATAAACGAGCATACTTCATCGCAAGTAGCGCTTTCGTATAGGGAAACAAAATATTCCCTCCTGCTTGAGACTTTACATGGGAAGGTGTGTGATGTTAATATTAAGTTGGTAAAAAAAAACTTGTTTTTGTAAAACTGATGGCCTTTTTAGGACAATTAAAACTGATTTAAGAAATACTCTAAAAAGTAAAGCTATATTTTTGTATATGAAAAAGTTTATAACTGATTTTTGTTTTTTGCAAGAATGTCATTCTGTAAAAGAGGACTATAATTTTTGGAGATCTCAGTGGGGTTTAGATTTATGGATGGCTCATGGTACAAACAAATAAGCTGGTGTTTGCATCCTTAAAATCAATTTAATGGGAAAATTATTTGCTCTGAATGTGACTCAAATGGCCAATATATTTGTCTTGTAACAGAAATATCCAAATCAATGTTTATCATTGTTAATATTTATGGGTTTAATCAACAAAAAGAAAATGAAAAACTTCTTGATCTAATAGAACAACACATTTTGAAATTACTTACTAAATACCCAAATGCCTTTTTAATCCTTGGCGGAGATTTTAATGTTGCATTGGATAATAGATTAGACAGATGCCCTCCAAAATCACCTGATAACTCAAATCTTTATTTTAAAACTTTCATAGAACGATTTTGTTTAAGTGATAATTGGAGAGACACTCATCCTAATCAAAAATGTTTCACATGGGGAAATAACTCTCTTTCCAGACAATCCCGTATAGATTTGTGGCTTATCTCAAGAGATTTAAACAAGGCTAATTCAGACATTATTCCATCACATTTCTGATCACAGGTGCATCTCGATAACTATTCCTTTTTCAGATACTGCTAACTTGTGTAGAATCAATTCTTACTGGAAATTGAATTGTTCATTGCTTAACTATAAAGAAGTAAATGAAAAAATCTAATTTATAATTTGCAAGTACTGGAAAAAAGCAAACGAGTAAAATGTTTTTGGAAAGAATTGGGAGTTAGCAAAATATGAAATCGGAAAGTTTTTAAGAACATTTAGCAGTAAATTAGCGAAAGAAAGAAAAGAAAATGAAAATATTATAATATGCAAAATTTCAGATTTTCTATCTAAAACTACTTTGTCAGATAGTGAAAAGGTTGAATTTACCCATTATCAAAATAAATTAGATGAAATCTATCAGTAAAAAGCAGAGGGAGCATTTATTAGATCACGGAAAGGATGGTTGGAATAAGGTGAGCAGAATTCTTATTCTTTTAGATTGGAGAAGCAACAACAGCAATAAAATCTTATTGAAAAACTTAATTAATCAATCAATATGTGAAGACCAGAAGACTATTACTAATTTTTGTGCTAAGTTTTATAATGATTTGTACACCTCTAAATTTAATAAACAAAATGCTTTAGAATTTTTCGAAACATTATCTTGTATAGAAAAATTAGAAAGTGCTGATCAGGCTTTTTGTGAGGCTCCAATCACATTAACAGAAGTTGAAGAAGCAATTAAATCATTAAAACTGAATAAATCTCCTGGCACTGATTTCAGAATTTTACCATATGTTTAGTAAAAATATTGCTCCCTTCTTGTTAAGTGTTTATAAGGAAAGTACAGATAACTCTTTTCTCCAACTCAATTTTTGCTAATTTATTAGATAATTGGTGTCCAATAACTTTGTTGAACAACGACTACAAAATAATTGCTATAGTTTTAGCTAAAAGATTAAAAGTCATTTTACCTTCCATTATCGATGAAACTCAGTCAGGCTTTATGCAAAATAGACATATATCTAATAACATAAGATTAATTTTAGATATCCTAGACTATTCTGATATGATTGATGGAGACAGTTTCATATTTTTTTTGGGTTTATTATAAAGCCTTTGACGCTTTAGAACATGGTTTTTTATTTCAAGCGCTTAAAGAAATTGGGTTTGGTGTTACTTTTTGTAAAATGATTAAAATGTTATATAAAAACATAAATAGCTCTATTAAATTAAGCAGTGGTACTTCCCCAAGGTTTTTTTTTTTTACATCATGGAGTAAGGCAGGGATGCCCAGTATCACCTTATTTGTTTTTAATTGCAGTACAGTTTCTTAATTTACATATCAAAAGGAGTAATTTAAAAGGTATTACTATTGGAAGTACAGATTTGATTATAAGTCAACTATTCATCTCAAGTGGCGGCTGCATTAAATACTCTACAAACATTTTCCAATGCATCTGGTTTAAATCTTAATTTAAATAAATGTGAATTACTTCCCATTAAAAATTGTGGTGTTTCCTCAATTTGTGAAGTAGCTGTTTAAAAACTCAGTATCTTACCTTGGCATAAATATAACTAACGATAAAAATAGATGTGATGCTAACTTTAATCCAATTGTTGCAAAAACTAAAAGAAAATTGAATAGTTGGCTTCAAAGAGATCTGTCTATTAAAGGAAGAATTTTGCTCACCAAAGCAGAGGGCCTGTCTTGTCTTTCTTATGCAGCTCAATCTCTGTACGTAGATAAGCCTACATGTAAACTAACAGACTTTGTCTGGAAAAATAAATGCCCCTATATGAAAAAGACTGTTATAATAAATTCGTATAATAAAGGAGGTCTTAACTGTATTGATTTCTGCTCTTCAAATTATACTTTCAAAATTAATTGGCTTAACCAGTAACTACATAAAGAAGACTCAATTTGGAATATTTTCCCAAAACAGGTATTTTCTGTTGTTGGAGGCATTAAGTTTTTATTGATGTGTAATTATAACATAACCAAAATTCCTGTTAAACTTTCAAATTTCCATCAACAAGTTCTTCTGGCCTGGACTTCACACAATTTCTATTTGGAATAACCAAAATATTTTATATAAAAATAAATCTTTGTTTTTCAGTGATTGGTTTAACAATGGTTTGCTTTTAGTTAGTCAGTTATTTAACAACAGAGGTTTTTTAATGAATTACTTTGAATTTATTTCCGCGTTTAACATACCAGTAAGTCCAAAAAATTTCGCCATTGTTATGGGAGCTATAACATCAGGAATTACTATGCTCTTCAAAAGTAGCATTCATCTCCCTCCTAAAAAGTGTACCTTTCTGATCCGACAGAAACATTTTTAGGTAAAATTTGTTTTTCAAACAAAAAAGATAGAAATTACAAAGTTAGATCTCTTTTTATTGAAAAAGTTGCTACATTGTCCCCTGTAATCTCTTATTGGAATAATATCTATAGAGATTTGATATGGGAAAAAATATGGTCTTTGCAACAAAAATATTTTCTCACCAACAAGGTCATAGAGGTGTCTTTTAAATTGATCAACACATTTGATCCTATAAAACAATTTTTGAAAAAGTTTAATTCTAATATTGATGTAAAATGTTCATTTTGTCAATTTCATACTGAAACTGTTTTTCATTTATTTTAGGAGTGTAATTATGCTGTACAATTTTGGAAACATATTGAATTATTTATTAATGATAATATACAACAAGATGTTTCTGTTACTTTTAAAGAAATTATTTTTAGTTATTATGAATCTGCCCCTACTAAGAGAAATACTTGTTTTGTTATAAATTTAACTTATTTTCTTTGTAAATTCCATATCCACAAATGCAAATTTACTAATAATGAACCATATTTTCCTGTGTTTTTGCAAGAATTTAGTAATTATATACAATTAATTTCATTATATAAAAATAATAAAGCAAACAGAACTATTTCATTTTGTAATGACTTTAATTTATGTTCTGTTCTTGATTCTTAAATGTCTTACCCTCAAAAAAAAAAAAAAAAAAAAAAAAAAAAAGACAAGGGCCATGACGCAGTTGCAAAAAACCAGCCACACCCTATAGAGGTAAAGTTGGTTTTATATTCGCACATTCGTTCATTTTGAAGTCTCTGTGTTGTTTACCATGTTACTTTGAATATTTGATCGGAATTAGCACGCAAGTATAACTTGAATACAACATTAACACTGTTTATTTGACTCTGAACAATGTTGTTCTTTGATAGTCATTGGCTGCTAATATGATTTCGCTATTTAGAGTTTGCACATAATACTTTTATGAAATTATATTATTACAGTTTTTCTCAGTCGCTTTTGTGCGTTTCTCACAACACTAGTGCATTTTAGCACAACAGTTAATGCATTTCT